TCCCTTCCTTCCTTTCCTTCACCTCCTGCTTAGTCTCTTCCTCCTTCCCTCCCTCTCTCCCATTGTCCTTTCTTTCTTTCCTTCCTTTCCTTCCCCTCCCTTTAGTCTCTTCCTCCTTCCCTCCCTCTCTCCCATTGCCCCTTCCTTCCTTCTTTCCTTCGTTTCCTTCACCTCCTTCTTAGTCTCTTCCTCCTTCCCTCCCTCTCCCTTGTCCCTTCCTTCCTTCCTTTCCTTCCTTCCTTTCCTCTTTGTCCCTTCCTCCCTTCCCTCCCTTTCATTGTTCCTCCCTTCCTTCCCTCTCTCATTGTTCCTTACTTCCCTCCCTCTTTGTCCCTTCCTTCCTCCCCCCCTCCGTGCCCAGGAAGGGACAAGGGGAGGGGGATAGGCTGCCAGTGTGGCTGGGGGCTTTACTGCCGGCAAACCTTCCTGTGCACAGGCAGAGACAGGAGAGCTCCCCCCAGCTCACTTGCTCAGCTTTGCCGAAAGACATGCCGCTTGCTAAGCTAGCAGAAGCTCCAGGATCAGTGCCAGGCTACAACTGATTCGTGCTTCTGCTAAATTAGCAAGTGTATGTTTTCTAGCGAGCAAGTTTGCTGGGCAGGAACCAAGGAGAGCAGCTACAGCTGCAGAAGCGCGGATCAGCTGTAGAGGCTCACCCCATCCTGGACAAGAGGGAAGGAAGGAAAGACGGAAGGGACAAGGGGGAGAGGGAGGGAAGGAGGGACAAAGAGAGAGGCAAAACGAAGGAAAGAAGGAAGGGACAAGGGGGAGAGGGAGGGAAGGAGGGACAAAGAGAGAGGTGAAGGAAAGGAAGGAAGGAAGGAAGGAAGGAAGGAAGGAAGGAAGGAAGGAAGGAACAATGGGAGAGGAAGGGAAGGAGGAAGAGACCAAGAGGGAGGGAAGGAAAGGAAGTTTCAGTCAGGAGAGGCTTGCCAGCCCTGCTGCCGAGAAACAGAAGAGCGCAAAGCCAAGGAGAAGAAGATGGCGGTTTCCTCCCAAAGGGGGCTCCTTTTCTCCACCTCTTCCCTGGGTTTGTGGGGAATTTCTCATCACCAGTGCTGGCAGGTGCTGCTTCGAGCCCGCTGCAAGCTTTCTCGCCCCCTTTGCTTCTCTCCCCTCCCCTCCCCGCTTTCGTGAGGATTGTGGCACCCTTGGGAAGCCGATCGTGCTTTGAAGCTTAGAAGAGGAGGAAGAGTCCCTTCCTCCTTCCCTCCCTCTTGCCTCAGCTGGTGCAAGTTCAGGGGTTGCCAGCTGATGGGCGCAGGAGTTGGGTGCTGCAGCGGCCTCCCCTTCGCTGACCTGTGTGCATGAGAAGAAGTCAATCCGGTTGCTGCACAATGAGTCTCTGGAGAGGGCGGGGCCTTGCTCTGCACCTGCACTCTTCATGAGCCCCCCTGAAGGGCACATTTGGTAGAGTTCGTGCAGACTGCCACCAAGCAGCATATTTTCCACAAACAAGTGAGGTGGAGCAGAGGGGGGGAGGGAGGGAAGGAGGTTGACAAGCCCTGCCTAAGACCATTGGAAATATGTGTTTTACGATGGCCTTAGGCGACCCCTGTGAAAGGCTCGTGCAACCCCCAAAAGGGTCGTGACCCACAGGTTGAGAACTGCTGTTCTAAAGCATTAAGTCTTTCCTCACTAAGAGCACCAATCAAGTCCAAAAACCAGCAGCAAATCTTCTATATAATATTCAGTTTTCTGCATGCCAAAAATAACTGATTCCAATAATTGATTTTACTGAATTGTGTCCCATGCTAATTATGGCTAGCAACCAGGAGAATTTATATTTTGAATAGAATGCAAAATAATTCTGCTAAACTGATAGAGCCAAATCCTGCTTATATTGTTAAAGAGTTTGGAATAAGTTCCAAAATTTTTCAATTTAATTTAATTTAATTGGATATTTGCATTTAATTGGATAAACAGTCCATTTTAATTTAATCTGTTATTCAAAGTAAACTGAAAATTAATCAGTTCAATTCCTGATAAATTATTTTTATTGCTAACTGGATTAATTGCCATCTCATACAGTAATCTCATCATTAATATACATCAAAATCAGAAATATTGCCACAAGATTTTAATTTCTATAATGAATTTTAAGAGATACTTTTGACCTTGTTTGCTTAGTATTTTCTTTTAAAAACTAATTAAAAACTAACGAATACAAATAAACACATAATCCTTTCCCATGTAAATTTTCTTTTTTTTTAATTTTTATTTTTAACCAACAAGACAAAAGAAAACAAAGCAAAACATAGCACACATACACACACAATATATACTACTCCTTTTTTTACAGCAATTACGTAACAGTAATCTAATATTTACATTTCCCCCTTATTCTTCTTTAAATATTTGTCCTTATAGCCCCATTATTTCTTATTTACATTTTTCTTCCTTCATGTTCTATTTCTTACTAAGAATAATTCATATTATTATTATTATTATACGTTATTGTACACATATTTTCATTTTTGACCTTTCCATATTTATTCTCCTCTATTATTTCTAGTCTCCAACCAGACATACACCTTGTTCCATACTATATAATACTCTGTGTCTTCCTTTTCTTTTATCTCTTTTGTTAATTTGTCCATCTCAGCACAGTCTAGGATTTTTCTTATTACTTCTTCCTCTGATGGTATATTCTCATTTTTCCAGCACTGTGCATATGCTATTCTTGCCGCCGTTATTATATGTAAAATTAAGTACCATATTTCTTTACTATACTTTCTATTTAAAATGCCCAACAAAAAGATCTCTTGGTCTATTATTTCTTGGATCCATTTTCTTATTGTAGACCAGTATTTTTTTGCAACTGGGCATGTTCACCATAGATGATAATATGTTCCATGTACCTTTTTACATTTCCAACATGTTGGCGAATTATTCTGGAACATCTTGGCAAGCTTTGCAGGTGGAAGATGCCATCTGTAAAACATTTTAAACTGGTTTTCCTTGAATGCCGCCGACATAGTCAATTTTATATTTATTTCCCATATTTTTTCCCATTTCTTCAATTCTATATTATATCCGAAATTTTTTGCCCATCTAATCATTGTGTTTTTCACAACCTCCTCTTCCATTTTATATCTCAATATGTATTTGTATAAATTGCTAATTAATTTTATTTCTGTTCCATGTATAATTTTATCCAATTCTTGCGGCTCTTTTTGTATTTCATATAATTTTTTGTCCTCTGTATATTTAGATTGAATTTGTGTAAATGTCCACCAATCAATCTCTCTGCCAATGTCTTGTTCCAATTCTTGTTTTGTTTTCAAATTTCCCTGTTCATTTACTAATTCCTTGTATCTAATTATCTTATTTATATCCAATAGGTTTGGGTATTTCAGAGCTTCTGTTGGGGATAACCACACTGGAATTCTTGTATATTGTTTTTGTTTTATTTTTTCCCAAGTCTGTAGCAATGCATTCCTAACTATGTGTCTTTGAAAATATCTGTGTATTTTATGTTTTTCGTCCCATAGGAATGCATGCCACTCTGCTTGCATATCATGTCCTTCTATTGTTAAGACTCTAGTATTTTTCAAATCCATCCAATCTTTTAGCCAAGTTAAACTTGATGCTTGATAGTATATTTCCCACTCTGGTAATGCCAATCCCCCTTTATCTTTCGTGTCTTGCAAAAGTTTTAATTTAATCCTGGGTTTTTTCCTTTGCCATATAAATTTAGTGATCAATTTATTTAATTCTTGAAAGAATGTTTTCCCTAATTTTATTGGAATAAACTGGAACAGAAATAATATTTTTGGCAATACATTCATTTTGACCGTAGCGGTCCTCCCTAAAAATGAAATTTGCAAATTTTCCCAATTTTCTAAATCTTTTTTTATCTGGTGTAGTATTTTATCATAATTGTCCTCCTTAATCGAGGAGCATTTCGCTGTAAGCCAGATCCCTAAGTATTTTATTTTCTTGGTTATACTTATCTTTATTTTATCTTCCAATTCCCTTTCTTGTGCCTTTGTAAGATTTTTTGTTATTAATTTGGATTTATTCCTATTAATCTTAAGTCTGGCTACCTCGCCAAATTCTTCTATTTTTTGAATCAATTTAAAGCCGGTTTCTAATGGATCTTCCAAAATAAATACCAAGTCATCAGCAAAGGCCTGGACCTTATATTCTTCCTTTTTAATTTTTAAACCCTTTATTTCTTGGTCCTCTCTGATTTTTGTAAGAAGTATTTCTAATGATAAAATAAATAGAAGAGGAGAAAGTGGGCATCCTTGTCTTACTCCTTTGGTTATATCAATTTTTTTCTGTTATTTCCTCATTTATAATTACCCTAGCTGTTTGTTTAGTATATATTTTCTCAACCATCTTTCTAAATTTTATCCCAAAATCCATGTAGTACAATTGTGTTATAATAAAATTCCAATTCAAATTATCAAATGCCTTCTGGGCATCAAGAAAAACCAGCATAGCTTGTCTTTCAGGATGGACTTCGTAAAATTCTAAAGTATTCAGTATTATCCTCATGTTATTTTTTATTTGGGGTCCTGGTAAAAATCCATTTTGATCTGGGTGAATATAATTATTCAAAATTTTCTTTATCCTTTCTGCTATTATTGTTGTAAATGTCTTATAATCTGTATTCAGTAAAGAAATCGGTCTATAATTTTGAATTTGTTGTAGGTCTGAGTCTTCCTTAGGAATGAGGGTGATGATTGCTTCAGTCCAAGTTGTCGGTATCTTCGCCTCTTCCAACACCTCATTGTAAATCTCCAACATTATCCATTGTAGTGACTCTTGTGTATTTTTATAAAACTCGACCGGAATTCCATCTGGGCCTAGTGGTTTGTTGTTTTTTTGTTAGTTGACTTTGGAGTCAGGACGAGGCAACAGTAAGTCAGCACTCCAACCATTCCGTTCACGGGTCTTTTATACAGTTTAAGGTTACTCCGCCTACCCCACACCCACACCGACGCCTATGCACCACCACCCACTCCCTAGACCGCCCTAAATCACCATACATGGATATCCGCCTCCAGGTTTCTCGACGCCTAGCTCTCCCAGCTGTTGCTTCCCGACGCTTCCCTCGGTTCCCGAAGCTTCTTGGCAGTTTGCGAGCTTCAAGTCCTCCGGTTCTCGTCACCGGCCGCGCTTGTACAGCCACGCATGCGCGCCGGATGATTCTAGCTGTCCGGGTCATCTGCGCATGTGTGGTGTTGCTCCATACGCCGTCTGCGCATGTGCTGCAATCACCTGGATGTCGGGCCGCCGGTAAACATACTCAGTGACCGAGGATGGCTGACCGGTAGGTATGTCTTCCGAACCGGGGTTGTTTCCTGGGCATCCTCCTCTAAGGCCCGACACCATCCTGATTTTCTGTGCCATTTCTTTTGTGTTGTCAGGTTAATCTTGTGTTTTATAATATTCCATTTTTCTTTTATCTTTTTATTTTGTGGGTCCTTCTGTAGATCACCTTCTATTTTTTTTAATTCTTGTAATTTCCCTTGTTGAAGTCTCCTATCTTTATTTTTCTTTGAGTTGTATGCGATTGTCAATCCCCGTATGTAAGCTTTTGTAGTATCCCACAAATTTTGTGTTGATGTCTCTTCCTTTTTATTTACCTGAAAAAATAATGTCAACTCCTTTTCTAGCATCTGTATATATTGTTTATCTTTACATAGTCTTTGATTCATTGACCATCTTTTTCTCTGTTTCTGGCCTTTCCATTTTATTATTATTGGGTTGTGATCCGCCCAATCATTAAGCCCTATTTCAATTTCCTCTATCCCTTTTTGTACATCTGTTGTTGCCCCGGCCATATCGATCCTAGACCAAGACTGATGTGGATACGAATAGAACGTATATTGTTTGTCTGATCTGTGTGTCTCTCTCCATATATCCTGAAGATTGAGTTCTGTTACCATGTCAAAGAATGATTTTGGTAATATATTTTTCTTCTTTTTCTTCTTTTTACTACTCTTATAATCTTTCTTAACATCAATTATTGCATGTAAATTTTCTTATAGCCCAGTGTCTTACATGAAATCTTTATTTTCATCAGCTTATGATGTGATGTCAAGAATTTTGGAAGCCATTTAATATTCATACTGGAAAAATGTAAACATTTAAACAGACTGTTTAGATATCTGCTTAAAAACAATAGAATTTTATGGCACCTTAAAAATTGACAAATTTATTATAGCATAAGCTTTTGTAGATCAGATTTCACTTTGAAAGGCATTTTTTATGTCCTGTAATTCTATGACTCTATTTAAGGGTCTCATAAGGTACTTGGTATGTATTTGTTATAATCAAATTCTTGTCTCGTCATCTATTTCTAATTTTGCATGAATCAATTGCCTAAATCAATTGATTTAATTAATATTTGGAAACTGATTCAGACTAGCCTGAAGAAATATAATTTTGACTTCTGGTGGTGTTTGCCACGCCGATGGTGGCTTTTTTTTTTTTAGCTGCCTGTCTCGGGATTGTGTAAGAGCCAGCAAGACAGCGACTATCAGCTGTTTTGCAGCTCAGAACATTCTTCCCGGGCAAAGGGAAGAAGGTGAGTTTTTTTTACGGATAGAAGTTGAGTTCCTGTCAGAATGGGGTGGGTCCTTACAGTTCCTCTAGTCTCCCAGAGATTATTTTTGGGGAGATGAAGAGTGAGAGCTCCCTCGGAGTCCGGAATAACTCCGCATCTCAAGACGCCTTTGTTCTCCAGCAGAGAACGAAGCTAGACGCTGCTTCCACATCTGCTACATAAGAACTGTAAGTAAAATTTAAAGCAGACGGAGCTGTTCAGGAGGATCAGAATTGTGCTGAATTTTAACTTTAACTCAAGAAAGAAATATTGTCTTCTCCAGCTATTATTTTAATGATTGGAGTGAAAGGAAAAATGGCAGAGGAATCCTGTTTCTTTGTTTGAGGACTTTCACTTTCACCTGGCAACAAAGTTTCAATAATGTAACAGTTTGCTTACTTAAAGAGTTTTTCTCTTTGTTGAGTAAGGGAGAGCTGTTTTTATTACCTCTTTATTTTATTTTGTTATAAGAAGTGGGTTTTTTCTTTTTTCCCCTTTTTTTCACATCTTTTTTTTTTAAAAAAAAAATGGCTTCAAAACGCCATGGAATTTCTTCTCTTGCTAAAGTTTCAATTTCCTCTCCAGTAGCACAGACTATACAGCAACCTAAGCATAAGTCTCCTCCACCCTCTCCCCCATCTCAAGCACTCACACTTAAAGATATACAGAATGTTGTACAGAATGTTGTACAGGATGCTTTGGAGAAAACTGCGCAAAAGATTAAGTTTGAGATAGCAGAGCTTTTGGAGCAGAGAAATCATCAGATGAGGGAAGATATTGTGCTGGCTCTTCAGAGGCTTGTGGCCCACGTAGAACGCCTGGATGATAGGGTGGATGAGGTGGTTGGAAATGTTGAAAGATTAGAAGGAAGAGTTGAAAGAGTTGAAAATAATGTGGATGCAGCACAGAATGAAATTATAATGTCACAATACAGAGATATGGAGTTTGCTTTGAGAATAAGAGGGTTGAAGGAGAATATGCAAGAGAATTTGAAAGAAGAGATTGCAGCAGAATTAGCATCCATTTTGGGATGTGAATTTGAAGAAATGTTGAGAGATATAGAAACATTTTTAGAGTTAATTGTCCGTGATTTAATATTGGGCAGCGGGGCGGACCTGGCATGTATAACCGAAACCTGGCTGGGCCCTGAGGGGGGTGTTTCCCTCTCGGAGATGTGCCCGGACGGGTTTGTGGTGCTTCATCAGCCTCGACATCAGGGCAGGGGTGGGGGAGTGGCAGTCATCGCTCGGACGTCCTTGAGCCCTCGTGGGATTCCTGCCCCAGAGGTTGTTGGGTGTGAGTCCCTCCTATTGAAATTGGGTTCACGGGTTCAGTTGGGCTTGCTGCTGATGTACCTACCTCCCAGCTGTGTTGCAACAGCCCTGCCTGCGTTGCTGGAGTCAGTAGCCAGGTTGGCAGTGGAGTTCCCCAGACTTATAGTACTGGGGGACTTTAACATACCATCACTCGGCGATCGCTCAGAGGCGGCGCAGGAGTTCATAGCTTCCATGGCAACTATGGACCTGACCCAGGTAATTCAGGATCCGACCCATAGGGGTGGTCACACACTCGACCTTGTGTTTCTCTCGGGGCAATGGAGACATGATCTGGAATTAAGGGGAATAGAGATCTCGCCCTTGTCATGGACAGATCATTTCCTGTTGAGGCTGGACTTTAGAGCATCACTCCCCCATCACAGGGAGAGGGAGCCGACTAGGTGGTTCCGCCCCAGGCACCTAATGGACCCAGATTGGTTCCAGGAGGAGCTTGATGAAATACCTGACTCCCTTGTCCACAACTCGTCCGGGTCCCTGGTTGTGGCCTGGAATGAGGCGGTGTCTGGGGCCCTGGATTGAATTGCACCTTTGCGACCTCTCTGTGGTGGTGGTCCCCGGAGGGCGCCTTGGTTTACTGAGGAGCTCCGGGAGATGAAGCACCACAAGAGACGTCTAGAGCGACGTTGGAGGGCCAGTAACTCTGAATCTGACCGATCACTATTAAGAGCCTATCTTAGGACTTATTTAGTGGCGATAAGGGCGGCAAAGCGTGTTCACTTTTCCGCACTTATTGCGCCTGCAGAATCTCGCCCGGTCATCTTGTTTAGGGTGACCCGCTCCCTTCTTAAAGTGGAGGAGGCGGAGGAACCCTTGCAGGGGAGAGCTGAGGAGTTTGTTCAGTTTCTTTCGGACAAAATCGCTCAGATTCAGAGAGACCTGGACTCCGACTGGGCAGTGCCAGCCGAGTTGCCAGGGGCTGGTCTTAGTCATGTTATCTGGAGCGAGTTTGAGCCTGTGACCCCTGATGAAGTGGACAAGGCTGTGAGGGAAATGAATGCCACCACCAGTTTATTGGACCCGTGCCCCTCCTGGCTGGTTTCTGCCAGTAGGGAGGTGACACGAGGCTGGCTCCAGGCAATAATCAATGCCTCCTTGATAGAGGGGTCTTTCCCACAACCTTTAAAGGAAGCGGTGGTGAGGCCCCTCCTCAAGAAGCCTTCCCTGGACCCAGCTGTTTTGAAGAACTTTCGTCCCGTCTCCAACCTCCCCTTTGTGGGGAAGGTTGTAGAGAAGGTGGTGGCGTCTCAACTCTTGCGATCCTTGGATGAAACCAATTATCTGGACCCTTTTCAATCTGGTTTCAGGCCCGGCTACAGCACTGAGATTGCTTTGGTCGCACTGACCGATGACCTCTGGCGAGCCCGGGATAGGGGTCATTCCTCTATCTTGGTGCTTCTTGACCTCTCAGCGGCTTTCGATACCATCGACCATGGTATCCTTCTGCGTCGTCTCGGAGAGGTGGGGGTGGGCGGCACCGTATTGCGGTGGTTCTCCTCCTACCTCTCTGACAGGTCGCAGTCGGTGTTGGCAGGCGGACAGAGATCGACCCCTAGGCGCCTCAATCATGGGGTGCCTCAGGGCTCAGTCCTGTCCCCCCTCCTTTTTAACATCTACATGAAACCGCTGGGTGAGATCATTCGGCGACACGGGGTGAGGTATCATCAATACGCGGATGATACCCAATTATATATCTCCACCCCGTGTCCTTTCAGTGAAGCAGTCGACGTGATGTGCTGGTGCCTGGAAGATGTGAGGGTCTGGATGATGGTGAACAGGCTTAGACTCAACCCTGACAAGACCGAGTGGCTCTGGGTCTTGCCTCCCAAAGGCCAACTGGATGGTCCATCTTTAGTCCTGGGGGGGGGGAAAATTTACCTCCCTCAGTGCAGGCACGCAACTTGGGTGTTCTCCTGGACTCACAGCTAAATCTGGAACAACATCTATCGGCTGTGGCTAGGGGGACCTTTGCACAGGTTCGCCTGGTGCACCAGTTGCGGCCTTATTTGGACCGGGAGGCTTTACTCACAGTCACTCATGCCCTTGTCACCTCAAGACTGGATTACTGTAACGCGCTCTACATGGGGCTACCCTTGAAGAGCGTTCGGAGGCTGCAGTTGGTTCAGAACGCAGCCGCGAGAGCGATTGTGGGCACGCCAAGGTACGTCCACGTGTCACCTATCCTCCGCGAGCTGCACTGGCTTCCTGTGGGTCTCCGGACGCAATTCAAGGTGTTGGTTATCACCTTTAAAGTCCTTCATGGCATAGGGCCAGGTTACTTACAGGACCGCATTCTGCCGCACAGCTCCCAGAGACCGGTGAGGTCCCATAGATTGGGCCTCCTTCAGGTCCCGTTGGCCAGACAATGTCGGCTGGCGGGCCCTCGGGGAAGGGCCTTTTCTGTGGTGGCTCCGACCTGGTGGAATGAACTTCCCCCCGAGGTTCGAACTACTCCCACCCTGCCGGCCTTTAAGAAGGCCGTTAAAACTCTCCTGTTCCGGCAGGCCTGGGGCTGATGTCCCCGGGGGGCTGGGATATGATCGGACTCGCGGTATGACTGTTTTATTTTATTGTTTTATCATTGTTTTAACTTGTATGCCGCCCTGAGTCCTTTGGGATTGGGCGGCATATAAATATTTGAAAATAAATAAATAAATAAATAAATAAATCATGGATTGCGAAGCAGAGAAATTTACCAAGAGATGTGGTCATTTATTTTTCCAGGAGATTACTTCGTAATGAAATTATACAGGCTTTTTATAAGCAAAGATTTCAAATTGCAGCTCAAGATGTTATAATTTTAAAAGAAATACCTCCAAAAATTCTTAGAAGAAGAAAGGACTTTGCTTTTTTGGCTAAGGAGCTTAAGAAATGACAGATTCAATTTAGATGGGATGTATCTGTTGGCATAGTGGTGAATTATGTTGGAACACGTTATAGACTTAATACAATTTTAAAAGCAAGAGATTTTTGTGTTTCTGTTCTGAAGGCAGGTGCACCATCATCTCCAAGATCTAGAAGAAACGAAAGTAATTTGAAGGACCATTGGCTGCAGGAGCAATGTCACCAACAGGAGAGGAGTTGTTGGTTGAATCTATGCAACAGTGTTTAGAGATAAGAGAAGATCCAAGGGAACAGAGAATGACTCGTGCAGCCCATAAATGTAGAGAAAAAGAACAACAAAAGGTAGATGCTGGAATTACAACACAGGTGGCTACCTCTGAGCCAGTGGGAGGAACAAGACCGAAGAGGTCATCAACTGCAGATTTAGATGCACTGTTCCAAAGGCTTCAAGCCACTAGAGAAGGCAAAGTTCCTGACATGGAATGTTAATGGCTTGAATTCACCATAGAAAGATAGAAAGTATTTTACTACTTGAAACAAATAAGAAGGATGATATATGTTTGCAAAAGACTCATATTGCTTTAAAGCAGTGGTTCTTAACCTTTTTGAATGAATCGCCCCCTTGAGCCAATGAGGAAGTTGTCATCGCCCCCCTCCCCCAACATAACCTCTCAATCACAACATTGGGAAATAATTCTTCAATTTATGCAAACACTTTTTTTTGTTTTCTTTAAAATTGTTCATCAGGGCATATTGATGCAAATAATTTATTTCCAGTCTTTTCCCCATATCTCCCATATTCTGGCTAATGGCGCACCACTGTATGGGTAGAGGCTGCTGCACAACACGCATGAAAATAAGCAATGCGTATTTACATATGTACGGCGTTCTGTACTGAAGCTAGCTGGAGGAACATCTGAAAACACAATTCAATCCACTAATAGCGAGTGATCGGATGTTTTTGTACGACAGATATACAGTATTCACTGTACGAAAAAGTCTCAAAAGTGCCCCTAAAACTTCTCGCTCCATCGCCCCCACATTGCCGCCTTTTCATTCCTTCGCCCCCACATTGCCCCTTTTCATTCCATCGCCCCCCTGAAAAATGAAATCACCCCCTGGGGGACAATATCGCCCAGGTTAAGAACCACTGCTTTAAAGGATGAAAAATATTTGATTAATTCCTGGCTGGGAGTACACTTTACAGCCTCTGCTCCGCAGAAAAAAGCAGGAGTAGTCATTTATGTGAGGAAAGACTTATCACCGAAATTAATTGATTCTGATCCACAAGGAAGATATGTTATTATTGATTTATTATTAAATGGCAAGAGAAGTCTTGTCATTGGACTATATGCTCCTAATCAGCAACAAAAATATTTTTATAAGATGATATTTCAGAAAATAATTCAATTGGATTACAAATCAGTAATTATGATGGGAGATTGGAACGGTGCTTTAGACTCAATTAAAGATAAGAAGGGTTCTTTTAAATCTCCTAATCATGCAAAATTACCTAAAGCTTTTTTTGATTGGAAGAAGGATTTGGAACTTAGAGACATTTGGCGTGAATGGAATATGGAAAAAAGAGACTTCACTTTTTTTTCGGACAGCATCAGTCGTACTCCAGAATTGACTTTTTTTTAATTACTAATGATCTTTTTTCTAGGGTGAAGAATGCTAAGATATTCCCCAGAATATTGTCAGACCATAGTCCTGTATGGATGGAGTTATCTACTGAAGAAAGAAATCAATTTGATGTTGAATCTTATAACAGCTGCAAGATTATTGGTGGAGCAATATTGGAAGAAAAACTCACTGCCTACTTTGGAAGAATGGATACTTAAGGTGTCTAATTTAGCAGAAATGGCGAAAATCTCCGCCTACTTGAAGGACCATTCACAAGAAAGATACATTATGGTTTGGAGAAGATGGATTGATTATATTCAAAAGACATATGAAACTAAAAAGTATTACCTTGCTTTTGAGTAGATTTTAGATAATTATTAATAGTTTTAATTACATTATTATTTTTGCTTTAATTTGTTAATATTTGTTTTGAGAAGGAGTTAAAGTGTGTTATGGTTTTGATTGATAGTATAGTTGGTTTATGTTAGGTAGATTATGTTTGTTTATTTGTTACCCTGTAATCAGCTCTGGGAAGTGGGGGAGGGGGGAGGAGTGGGGGGGTTTATATTGTAATAAATTTGTAAAATTTTTAATAAATAAAAGAAATGTAATTTTGAGATAGCAGTGTTCCAATATTTGAGGGGCTGCCACAAAGAAGAGAGTGTCAACTTACCAGAAGGCAAGACAAGAAACAGTGGTTGGAAACTAATAAAGGAGAGAAGCAACCTAGAACTAATGAGAAATTTCCTAACAGTGAGAACCAGTGGAATAACTTGCTTTCAGAAATTGTGGGTGATCCATTGCTGGAGGCTTTTAAGAAACTGTACAGCCACTGGTCTGGAATGGTATAGGGTCCCCTGCTTGAGCAGGGGATTTGGACTAGAAGATCTCCAAGGTCTCTTCCAACTCTGTAGTCTTTTATTCTGTTATTCAGTTTTGGACAAAGATTTAAGATTAATGCTAATTAAAATTAAATGAGTATTGCACTTTATCTACTGAAAAGTACTGCTTCTTTCTATATCCAGAATTTTGTAAATATTGATTGATCCACAAACAGTGGATGATCCAGTTTTACATTGCTTGTTTAACATGCATTGATAAGTATCCTGGGAAAGATAATTTGGAAGCATAAACTATAATGATTGGGTAACATTTGATGTTAATATTACATTTAAATAGTTTATTAAAAATTATATTAAATACAGACTAACAGAATGGTCATAATACAGTATATTTATATAGGAAAAATAACCAAGTAGAAAACATGTATCTTTTAAAAGTTCTTTGAACTTTTTCTTTTAATAAAACATGTTTTACCCATGAAATAAAGTTATCTTAAGACCTGTATAAAAACAAAACACCTCAGTTTAAAACCTTGAGTTTGATTCAGCCCAAGCACTATTAATAGCACAACCTACACATTTATCAATTATACATTCTCATTGAATTTAATGGGGCTCATTCTTTAAGGTTAAAGATTGCAACTTAAGTTTCTTTTCTTTCAATGGAAGATGTTTAAACATATGGATAACTGATGTAACTTAAAAGTGCTTAGCCTGGGTTGTGTCATACCTATATCTTCACAATACTTACAGTCTGCAAATTCTTCAAAATAAAAACATATTATTTTTCAGGATCAAATTGATCACAGGCCATTATTTAAAAAACAAAAACCAAAGTGAGTGGATGCTCCCTGAATCCATTCTGAAGTGCCTTTTTTCTCTTTTCTTATTCATTTTGGGGGTCAATAGTGCAGATTTATATAGGATATCAGAGCTCCCTATGTAAATCTATTGAAAGCAGAAAGTGAATCAGTGGCAGGATGCAGCTGCAGTATCCGGAGTCATTGACTCTCCCCAATATATATAGGGACTAAAACTCAGAATTCCTAAGTCCAATGCATTCCACACTGTAGCCCAGTCACTCCAAGACCTCTGATTGGTAAAAATGCCATTTTACAGTATCCATGGAAAATGGTGGCCTCCTCTCATTTGTTTTCTAAATTGTAACAATGGACTTCTCCTTTCCCTTTCCCATCATATCCAGGGAGTGGCTGCCCATATTTATCCACACACCAGCAATATCCTCTCTTCCAGCCCCTGGATGGACGACACTAAAAAACAGAGAGGAAAAGAGTTAGATTGTGTGTGTGTGTGTGTGTGTGTGTGTTAAAAATTTTAAGTGGGAGACTAGTTATATTTAGTATGTATGTATGTATGTATGTATGTATGTATGTATGTATGTATGAGTTAAAGATTTTAAGTGGGAGACTAGTATAGCTATTTCGGATTCATTTATCCTCATCAGCTAGCCAGACCCTTTATGGGATTTGAACCAGGGCATCTACATGCTAGGCAGTGTATTAACCACCAGGCCACCATAAAGAGTGTGGCTAGCTGATGAGGATAAATGAATCCAAAATAGCTATACTAGTTTCCCACTTAAAATCTTTAACTCTTGTCAGCAAAAAGAAATCTGAATTTGTAATGTATCGCAGTTGCGACTTGAGCCTGCTTAACGCCCCTAGTTGGGGGGCTGCAAGGCAAAAGAGATTATAAAGAAGTAGAACTGCAGTATAGCAGTCAAAATGCCAAGATGCAATCAATCAGACAAGTCTGTCTGAAAAACTCTCTCTCTCTCTCTCTCTCTCTCTCTCTCTCTCTCTCTCTCTCTCTGTGTGTGTGTGTGTGTGTGTGTGTATACATATATATATGTATGTATGTATGTATGTATGTATATGTATATGTATTAAGAACAATACTAAAAATAGAGGAGTGATTCCTGGGTGTTCATATTAAATAACAAAACGTGATCACCAGGAAAATATAAAACATTAAAAGTTTTAAATATAAAACATTAAAAGTTTTAATAAAAAGGAGACTGAGCTTTCGTTGGGTCCTGCCAACATCATCAGTGTATATACAAGTCAGTGGGAGAAACCATTTATAGACAAGCTAGCACCTGTGCTCGACTTCTAGACCGTGTAATGGGTCCTGACCGGCCAATCATTGTACCTGTCGTAGTCTCTACATAACTAGTTAATTCACCCTCGCTTCCCTTATCCATATGAGCATTAACACCTACTCCCCCTTTTCTCCATGTCCGTGACTCAGGAGGGCGTTTAGTCTTTCCCCAGTCCAACATACAACCATCATCATCGGGTTGTTTCCCCCTCCCCTCTTCTTTGGGATGTTCCATGCAGACAGACCTCTATATACATACATATGTATGTTTAGCTAGCAATAAATGCAAGAACACCAGGAAATTATAAAACTATAAAAAGTTTTAATAAATTTAAAACACCAAGCTTTCGCTGGCAACTGCCAGCATCGTCAGGGTGGTTTCCAGTCGATGGGAGATGCTATTTATGGTTATGGCGTTCTTTGCGCCCGACTCATGGATCTCGTCGCAGCCCCAGCCAATCCATCTGCACTTTGATCCTAGTTTCCGTGTTACTGATCGTTGTTTTCTTGCTTATTAAAACTTTTTATAGTTTTATAATTTCCTGGTGTTCTTGCATTTATTGTTAGCTAAACATGAGTTTACCCAGGAATCACCTTTTTATTTTTAGTATTCTTAAGAACATATGTATGTATGTATGTACAGTATGTATGTATGTACAGTATGTATGTATGTATGTACTGTATGTATGTATGTATGTATGTATGTATATATATATATATACATACATACATATATATGTATATATATATATATACATACATATATATATATATGTATGTCCTTAATAGTTATAAAAATACGAATCCCGGGCATATTGTTCAATGATGCAATCTTCGATCTCCGGGAAGAGTATACTCCAGTTATTTATTGTTAAAACAACATTTAAAACAATAAAAACAGTTATATACAAGAATTAAAACAACTTAGCTTTCGCTGGTCCTCTGCCAGCATCCTCAGAGTGGGGCTTAGGGGGTGGGAAGTTCTTTTTATCCCCTTGCTGATCCAATTGCCTACTCATTGCCCTCGTGACAGGGCCACTCTTCCTGATTGCCTGTGACTGCCTTGCCTGTTCCGCCCTCTCTTTTTTGCACTCTAACATTGTATTTTCCTGCTTTGTCATCCTTGTGCTGTCTCCCCCTCCCTGCGCTGTTATCATTAGCACACTCTCCAATCCCTCCTCCTTATCCAATGCAAGGTGCCTCCTCCGACTCGGCACTACCCGAATCCTGTTGAGCTGATAATCTGCCTGCCGTTTTTGCATACCATTGCTGGTTTCTATTTCAACTCCCTCCTCCAACCCCCCTCCTCTCCCAGCCTGCCAATTCATGCACCCTTTGTTATCCATTCCTGTCATCCTTCCCCCCCCCTTCCTTCAACCCTCCCACCTGTTGATTAACATATTGCTCCTGCCTTTCATCAACCATACTTATTGATGTTCTCTTCCTCAATATCTTTACCTTCCTGATCCGCTGCTCTACCTGCTGTTCCTGTTTACCCTCCTCCCCCACTGTCCATCTTCCCCTCTCCAATGTCCTCCCCATCATCTGCTGACTTGCCTGTTGTTCATCCATTTCTGTCCATCCTCTCTTTTCTAGCATTCCTCCTCCTCTGACCTGCCGTCCTACATGCTGTTCCCACATGCCAACATCCATTCCTGTTAAACCCTCCTTCTCAAGCTTTCCTCCCCCCCAATCTGCCATCCTGCCTGCTATTCTTATCTGCCCTTCTCCTTTCCTGTCAGTCCCCCCTCTCCTGTTTCCTCCCCCCCTCTCCAATCCACTGCTCTGTTTGCTGTTACTTCCAGCATTCTTCCTTCCTTTACCTGCTGTCCTACGTACTGTTCCCATCTACCAACCTGCGTTCCTGTTGGACTCTCCTTCCCAAACTTCCCCCCCCAAAAAACTGCTGTCCTGCCTATTATTCCTGCCTGCCCTTCTCCATTCCTATCCACCTCACCCTCTCCTATTTCCTCCCCCCCTCTAATCTGCAGCTCTACCTGCTGTTCCTGGCTATTCTCCTCCATTCTTACTCCCTTCTCAAATATCCCCTCTCCATCCATGAATATGCTTCCAATCTTACGTGCCTCATCTTTTCTGTTCTTTTC